AGACACTCGCAAGCAAATAGGCAACCAATCTGCCTCGCTCAGGAGCACACGCCCCCCCAACTTTGATAAAGCGAGAGGGAGCCAGTGGAGAGGGAGGGGTGATCTAATGATCAAGGCAAGACAAGACTACCTATGCGCCTAGGAAACTTCGGTTGGAGTGAGTGTGTGAGTGGCAAGCTACAGCAGCTGTATGGTTCAGCTTTGCCGAAGCTCCTGCATAGCCTCCTCTCGGGAAGTAGAATCAGTGAATGCACATATGTTTGCCAAGTGTCTAACTGTAGCACCACTAGTAGTGTCGGGGCACATTTGGGCCGTATTGCTCGCTGCCAAGCCCAACTGGGCGCACACATTCCATCGTCATAAGGGAATGGAAGAGACAGGTGATTGGAGAGAGGGGCTCTACGCCAATATAGAGATAGTTCATCAATAGCTGCCGATCACTGTGCCGCTCTGGGATCAAAGCGAGTGGTCAAACAGTGCAAAGTCGGGCGTCCTCTGGGCAAAGCTGATCGATTGAAAGTCACTATTAATTGCATTCAGCCTTGGGCTAGCCGTATGAGGATGACTTGATGTCAGCTTGCACCAAATGATCCGCCCGAGTCGGTTTGTGCTGCAGATATGTGGAGCAACTCAAGACAAAGGAGGACAGCCAAGGCAGAACTGAGGCACTTTGAAAATGTCGATCTATTTGGCGGACATGCTCCTATTATTGTTCAATATCCTGCCGAATGAGGGTTTTGTTGATAATCATGGGGCATAACTTGGGCGTTCGAAGCGATTGGTCGAGTTAAGGAAACAGCCAGCCTCCTCAGTCTCTATTCCATACAATCAGAACTAATTCACTATTGGAAACAAAAACAGGGACACGGGGATTCACATGAGAATACGTAGTATGAGGGATGCCAGAAGAATTGAAGGGATCACCGATACCATCTACTAGGAAAAGGGATTTCTCTCCATAATCTACTTGGGGTATGAATTTTCATCAGAGGCGACAGACCCAACCAAGACTCTGAACTGGGATCAATTCGTCTAAAAACAAGGCCCTTCCAAGCAAGCCAAATGCGTTTGGGAACTCCCATATCAGTAGCACCTCAAGCGCTGCTCTGATTCTTCTTTCGTCGGAACCTCAACATATTTCCAACATCCTTCAAGAATCCAGTCGGTTCGCCTTCATACATTGCCTCGTATGCGTCGATGTTAGGCTTCTCCCAAATGAGGTCCGCCTCTTCGGGCTTGATCAGTTTCGTCTTCTTGATGAATTTCCATCCCAGATACGTGACTGGTGCGAGCAGAAGCATGAAGTAATATGTGAAGAACGCATCAATCGCAAAAGCTCCTGGCTTGTAAACAGTATAACCATAGACGCATACAACTGTGAAAAGGAAGATCCCACTGATCCATGCGCAATAAGGCTGGAAGTATCCATAGTAGGGGAGACTGCGGCGGTCGATGCCCTGCGCCTTGAGCGCTCGGTAGAAGAAAATGTACGTGATGCAAATGATAACATAGTCGATAATTTGAGCGGCAGTGATGAGGTTTGTGAACCAAGTCAAGACCTTTGCAGAGCTGCTGGAAACGTTCAAGAAGGCGAGGCAAGGGAAGAGCATGATCGCGAGGAGACAGTAGATAGGGACACCATGCTTGGTCGTTTTGCGGAAGAATTTGGGCGCCTGACCTTCAAGGGCCAAACTGTAAAGACTTCGGCTTCCATAATATGTGTAGGCGTTGCCTTGGGCATGTCAGTCAACGATTTTCAATAGAGCAGTTTCACCTCGGTAATAGAAATGTCACGGAAATTGGTGAGTTTGAGAATACTTACCTGCAGAAAAGATGGACGTCACCAGTAGAGCGTTGGTAACATGAGGAAGAACCGACACACCCAGATTGTTCATCGCAATCACATAAGGCGAGGCTGAAGCAGTACCACCACCGGAGGCGCCATTTTGAATCGCAACAAGGGTCTTCTCGTTGTATGGAATCACAACAGACACGGTCAGGGCACTTCCGATGAAGAAAATGGCGAAACGAATGTAGGTCGTTTTGAAGGCCTTTTTGAGATAAACACGAGGCAGCTCACATTCACCAGCAACCATGGAAACATATTCGGGGCCGACGACAGTGAAAGCAGCACTCCAGAGAGCAGCGAGGAAGCCCTCGAACTTGCCTAGATCTCCGGTTGACTGGTACTCTGCAAATGGACCCGGGTTTTTCCAGTACCGGAAGCCGTAAGCATCACGCTGGGGATTTCCACCACACATGGTGATGAAAGTGAAGCTGAAACATATGATGATGAGCAAGACCTTTCCAGAGGCTAGCCAAAACTCGCTTTCACCGAACCATTTCACAGTGAGAACGTTAATAGCGCTGTTGTCGTTCGAGTCAAATTAGTCACGAGGGCACGATGCATAGAAGGGCCAGAGAGGGTCAAATGAGGCACAAACAAGTATAGCACGATGCATGCTGCCACGACAGCAGCGACGGGTATGTCATCTCTCCAGTAAGTCAGAACGAGGTTGAGGGCTGAGATTTCGAATGGAATCAAGAATGCCTCATAGAGGAAAAAATTCCATCCAGCCATGAAGCCAAAAGCCTCGTCAACCCCTACCCACATCATCATTTATTAGCATCCCAGAAAGTTCAGTATCAAAGATACCACACATCATTCGTATTTCAACTTACAGTGTCCGGCCAGTCGAATGAAAGCTCCAGTAGTTGGCATGTACACAGACATCTCAGCCATGGAGTTGTTGACAAGGCCGAGCATACATGAGTAGAGAGTGTAGGCGAGAACCAAGCTGACAGGGCCACCCCGAGCAAGTCCGGTACCAATTGAAACGAATGTTGCCGTTCCAATACTGCCACCAATGGCGATCAATTGTACCTGGCGGTTACCAATGTGTCGCTGGAGGTGATCATTGGTTGCAACGACATTGCCGTTGATGACACTTTCGGCTTTAGTTTCAGCTCTTTTCAAGTCGGAATGCATCTCGCCAGGAGATTCCTTCTCGTGTTGAGAGGAGGTGCTGCCACCAGACATGTCGATGATCTGTTTCGTTTATGAGGACTGCCGTGTTGGTTTATCTGGGAATTGTTCAACCAGTTTCATGTCACATGTATTCAGGTGGAATCAATCTGAGGTACGAGAATAACCATAAGTCAAGAGGATCATCGCTCTTTATATACCTCTTGAAACCTGTCCACTGGTAGCATGCATCTGCGTCAGACCATTGCCCGTCGCCAGGACCTTCCCCACGTTCAGTGCTCCCTACAGGTTTACTCCGCCTCAACAATGAGCTGCCTATCATCCCATGCTCCACACTTACATGAGTAGACAAGGTTAGTTCGTTACATGGAGCCATTTCTTGGGGAATGGTAGCAAAAGAGGTGACACGACCGTTGTGGGCCGTTGGAAATATCGGAACAGAAGCCGAGACTTTGATCTTCCACCTTATCGTTGGCTCGTCTTTCTCTCTTTGGACCCCGAAAACTGTTCTACAAACAGGCAGATGATGAAATGAGCCATTTAACTTTAGTGCCCCGATGGGATCTTCTCTGCTTATATCAGACAAATACAGCGTTCCAGAGCAAATCTGCAATGATACACAAGGAGCCGGAGGAAGTGGAAAAGCGCAGCAATGCAGGGGTGTCTTGGTGTTCTAGCCAATAGATAGCACCAATTGGGCTGGGATCCAGCTTCATGATATGAGTGGCAATCGGATGCTCTTCCGAGTTTCATCAGCTTCAGGTCCACATCTTGAATCATGATTTACATTCTTTGCCAAAATGCGGGCTTTCCGAGGCCAATTCCATCCAGCTGGTGAGCAGTGATGGATTCTTGTACGTAATTACTCCAGACTCCTCCATATTCCCCCAGAATCTCCCCATGATCTGGAGAAATAAAGGTTGAGCTCAGCGGAGCTTGAGGTCACCATCCAGAGGTTTCATGTACGTAATTCCCAGTTGATAGCGGGTACACAGGTCGACAGGCGGATGGAGGGATGGACCATGCAAGGAGGTCGCTGCATGGGTTGAAGCCAGCTGTAAGCAGTGGGAAATCCGAAGTTCCCCTACGCACCATATCAAATCCTCTGCTATCAAAACTCGCAATTTCCAACCACCTAGACTGGGTTCCGCCCATCCCTGAAGATCGCAAGTCTCCACTGATGAATTAATAGCGCAGTTTGGCCATGTTTTGGAGTAAGTGAGCTGAGTACGGCGTCGTAACCGATCACATGTTCGGCATTTCCATGAATCATGCCCGTCCCGTCTCCTAGAAATGGGCTTGACAACGTTCTATGTACTGTATTCTTGAACCTAAAATTAAGTTTGCCCTGTTTCTTTGACTTGGAATGACATGGTGCCAACAGGTGGCTTCTGTGATGGTGAAAACGCAAGGTTGTTACTCACTCGATGGACTTGTAGCACCTCATGTACGCTGAAGAGAGGTTCCATGTCTGCATTGGGGTACATGAACCTTGAGTTTTCCACACGCCTTCGATGCATTAGCGCCAGCTTGGGAAATACGTGATTCGGGTGAATCCAGCCCGCGTTTGTGGCCAGAGGCCGCCACCGCCAAGAAACCGCTCACCTACTCCAAACGAATGTCACCGAGGCACATCTGATTTGCGGAATGAAGTCTAATTCACGCTACATCAAGAGCATTACAGGGCTTCTCTACGAACCTACGTCATTCTTCGATAGCCTCGGCGGTTGGGCGCGGTCCGGCGGAACCGTTTTGGGACCGGTCCATTAGTTGCAAACAAGGGGCCTAATTCATACAGGGCTCTCCATGGTTTCCCGTCATCCAGTGTAGCTCTCTAGAAAATTTCCGATTTAGGGCAGACAGCGCTTCCAATGGTAACTTGTTTTTGTTGGTAAGAAAGTAATGGTATGCTAGTAGCTACTGGATCGCCAATATCAAGAGTCCTAGGGCCAGTCTCATGAGAACTTTATGGACCAACTGTCCAAGCTGCCGTGGTCATAACAGTACGCCAGTGCTAATACAAGTAATCTGTCCAAACCTTTTCACCTAAAGCAACCCGTTTGCGGTAGTCATACACACGCTCGCCCCAAGGCTCGAGATACCCGCACACAACACGAGGACCTCTCAAATCTGGTGCCTTCGCCAGCACAAATGTCACTTCCTCGGCTGCCTGGGCCTTCAAGGTCTTTTTCCAGCGCCTTGTAGAGGGAAACCCACCCACTTCACCCAGAAAATCCATGAAATGAAACCCGTGGAACAAATAAAGCTCACCAACATCGGATCGGGAATATAGGTAAACCAGCTTAACGGGACGCTGATCATGTTGCGCATAAACGACCACGTCATCATAGTCGACAACGGACACAGGAGATTTGGGCTTCTTTCCTGTCACATCCGCTAGTGTCGGGAAGTCACAGACGTAGCCCTTCCAGAACCCAGGTCGATGTTCAACCTCGGATAGAAGCCTCCCCTCCTTTACACTGAGCTTAATGAAGATTGATGGATCATTAGCACAAGCTTCGTGCTTCTCCCACAATTCAGAAATTGCGAGACGCCACTCTTTGGCTATGGCCATCTTGCCGGCCTCTTCGAGCCCTGTTTCGCCCTTCAAGATCGAGTTGAAGCATGTTGTCAAAGTATCTGGGCGAGAAAGATTCGCAAAACTGCAGAATATCAATGTAGCGCCAGTATCGCGCCGGCGGCATAGTACAAAGCTTGTAGTTCCGTCACTGGAAGCAGCTTCAACTGTTACTTTGGGTCCCTCGCGGCCCTCCGCCCAAACTCTGTTATTGTCGTTGGTATCAGAATGGCCAAAATTTAGTTCGATAACCTGAGGCGAACGCCCACGAGAGCTTTGGCCTGCGCTAGGTTCTTTTCTTTTGTCCATCCTCAAGCTTTGGTTCTCGTAACAACAAACGTAACAAACTCTTGATGAACGCGGCGTTCAGAGTGAAATCACTGTTTGGAGCTGGGCTATGGCATCAATAGAATATTGAGGAGTCTTGGAGCAGGAGGGAGGCTGGCGACAAGGCGAAAAATTGGTATTCTTTAAATCAGTTTGGTTTGAAATCAAAGTGAAAAGAAAGGGTTTTATCTTTCGAGATGTCTACAGAGACCTTTTTATATTCTGTTGCTAATGGTGAATGGCTTAGAATTATATGCAAGTTTGCATGGTCAGTTGATGGTGGTATGTGATTCCTCGACGCTGAGCTCTGACTCCTGAGTACGAAGCAATTTATTGAGCACAGAAACCTCAGCAATCACCACTTTGAACATATCGGGTAGAGCTTTGTGATAGGATCAATGATTCAAGGTAGTATTGCTGTTTCAGGCCGACTCCGTGCGATCTCCAAGTGAACAAGTGACTACCCTAAGCTGAAAAGGTGATCTGGCAGTATTCAATTTGCCCTGACATAGTTAATTCATGATAGGTTATGTGAATGAGAGATACTAACATAGATCATACATCTTGATTCGACTGCTTGATGTTGTCGCTCAGCAAAAAATGTAGGACAGCCAAATAATAACATGCATATACCACTTCGTTAGCGGCTTCGTTAAAGCAAAGAAGGCATAACCGCGTGAACAATCATTGATATTATAGTTGAATTGCGCCGGCGAACTTCTCATTTTGATAAGGGTGCTTTTAAATCGAAATTCTTCCCTAGCTGATGCGTATTATGTATTGCAAGCTGGGGACCATCACCAGTTCTATCTAAGATTTCACACTGCCAAAGCATATGGTCAGAGTTTTGAGAAATGTACCGCTAATGGGTCTAGGGTTCTCATCCTGTCACAGCTCACGGCTAGTCGGGATGTTACACTGAATCGTTAAATCACTTCATTCTCACTGCTAGATCACTTTGCAAAAAGGGCAAAGGAAATTGCGGAATGAGATTTGCTCAAATTCAATTCATTCATTTCCTATATTCATGATATTTGATTTTTAATACCTTTTAATACCCGATTGATGCTCAAATCGCCGTGAAATTGTGTGCATTCAGAAAATGCAAAAGTTTTCATAAACCAGACCCTAAAAGGGGACGAAAGGAATTCCGACTTCCATCGTTGTCAAAGCAGAACGGACCATGATGCATACGCGTGTGATTGAAAAGAGAATCGCTTCTGTCTAGCATCCATGCAATATCCTGTACTACTCATACACATAACCCAACCCTAATTTTCTTATCCACCTTCCTTGCTCTTGCTAACCAGAAGAGTTTCCATCAAAAAGTATACTAGACGCCGTTCATCTAGGTACCTAGTATCCAGGAGGAGCGGGACCAGTCACGGTCACGGTCTCCCACACGGTCTTCATCGCACAGTTTCCCTTGGTGGGGGTGGACGATGGGGTGGTGACAGCGGCTTGGGATGAGCTCGAGGGCTGAACTGGGGCCTGGGAGGAGCCGACGGCGGCAGAGGTCTTGGATGAGGCAGGGGCCGACGCAGCTTCAGATGAGGCGGGGACGGGAGCTGAGGCGGCAGAGGATGTGGGAACGGGGGCGGCGGAGGAGGCAGCTGAGGTGGCAGCGGGAGCTGAGGAGGCGGGAACATCAGTGTTGACGCCGGATTCTACGCCCTGGCTGGTAGTAGGGGCAGCAGCAGCGGAGCTGGCCTGAGAAGAGCTCGCGACATCAGTGGCAGAAGCAGCGGCACTGCTGCTGGGGCTTGATCCGCCGCTGCCAGCACCGCTTAGGTTGATGCAGGCGAATGAAATCTTGCTGCTAGTGGACTTGGGGAGCGAGAGGGCGGCGGCATCGAGACGCCACTCCATGTTGACGTAGGGCCAGCAGATTCTACCATCGGCCATTGTGACCATGTCGCCAGCGACGAAGGTGTCAGTAGACTTGAGAGGCTCGCCGACGATGGAACCGCTGCTGTCAACCAGCTGGTAGTAGGTTCCGGAGAACTGACCACGGCAACCCATAGCATCGAAGTCGCAGATGGGGCTGTCGATCTGCTCCCAGGTGACCAGGGCCTGCTTGCTGTCGAAGGTGGCAGCGTGGGCATTGGATCGGTCCGCGTTGCCGGTTGTGACCCAGGTGATCTGCTTGTCACCGTCGGCGGCGCCAACCTCTGATGTGGCCTGCTCACCGATCAGGGTGTTCTTGTCAGAGAACAGGGCGATGGCGACATTGCGGTTGCTGGTGCGGTTGACAGACTTGGTGTATCCAGCGCCCATCCAGTCGTTGAGGGTCAAGTCAATGGCACCACGGGAGACCCAGGAGAAGATGTATGCGTCCGAGCTCTGGAAGCGAGCCATGCTGCTGTAGGATCCGCCAGTTCCACCCATGGGCTCACCACTGCCGCCGTTGATGACATGCTCGTTGGAGACCTTGACACCATTGTTGCCCATGCCCTGAGTCTTGGTGTTGAGCCAGATGGCACCTTGATCCTCCGCGCAGAGTGAGGCAAAGGGTGGTGCGTCGGCAGCCTCGAAAGCGATACCAGTGTTGTGGCTGCAGCCCCAAGAGCTGGAAGCACCCTGGATGGTCTCCAGCTTGCCTGAAGTGTTGATATAGCGGATGGCATCACCAAAGTGGCCGGAGGCGCTGCCGGAGTAAGAAGTGACGACAATATAGGCGGCGTAGTATCCAGCCTCGGCGGAGAAGACGAGATCACCGTTGAGCTCGGGGGTCGCCAGGCTGTCTGAGCTGTCGACGCCGGGGCCACCCAGCCAGGTCTTCCAGGTCTGGGTTCCTCCAGTGTATCGGTAGAGAACAGCAACGGGGGTCTCACCGGCGGGAGCACCACTTGTTCCTGTGGGCATTGTCTCGGTGGTGAGGAGGGCGAATCCATCATCGTGGGCTACAAGACCACCAGCCTCCTTGGCTCCTGCAACCTTGACGGCTGTACCGGTGGCCTCGAAAGTCGAGGGGTTGATGGGTTGAACGATGACATCAGACCCGCTTGAGGCATCGAGGTAAGCTAGATAGGCCGACTTGCCGTCGGGTGAGAGGGCAAAGGGTGTTCGTCGATGGTGAGGGTAGCCGGTCCAGTAAGTTTCAACGACAGGGTTCACAGAACCTGACAGAGAAGCAACGTCGACGTAGCTTTCGAGGTTGGTCGAGCTCAGCTGTGCAACAGCAAAAGAGCCGCAAAGGGCGAAAAATGAAAGAACAGACCGCATCCTGATGGGTCAAATGTTTTCAAATGAATGAATAAGCTGCAACAACAAACGAAGGAATGAAAGGCGAATGGCCACAATCTCTGAAGAAGAAAAGACCAGAATTTCAATGGTCCCGGCCATGATGGTATATTTATTATCCTTTACGCTGCCTTCTTCTCGTCTTCGCTAATACTCTTGAGGGTGTTTCAGGGGGACGAAAAGAGCCACGACGGAAGCAACGCCGACGGCCAGATCGGGCCAAGAACGTTTCTGAGCATGGTTCATGACAGCGGCCTACCACGAGATTCCTCCACGCGACGTACGATGCTCCTCGGACAGGGCTGGTTGACTGGCCCCCATGTGCGGCCTCATATCGCTTACCGTCTCGCTAATGGCGGCCACCTGACATACACAACCCACGGTTTCGAAGCCAAGAGACAGGGCCAGCAATATTCCGTATTTTGTTGCCGTAGAGAGACGCTTACTAACCCTGACTGACCAGCGTCTCAAATTTCTGTCCCAAACAATATGAGCGGTGGGTTGATGATGAGGGGCGACGAGGGTTTCAAATTACCCGTACCCCTGCCAAGAGTTGTTTCATAAACTCAACAGTCAGCTCGGTCTCGTAAAGAAATTCCCTTCATTGACTTGGCACTGATCCAGAACGCGCCGCCAAGGAGTTCCTCGCAGCGTGCAATTTTGTTGCAATTGCAGGCTGACTGCTTCCCTCCGTCATCCCCGAATGAGCGGATGCCTAAACAAACTTCTGTTTAGGATTTGTCTCATTGGCTGGAGAGTAGGAGTACCTTACGCAGGAGAAAGGGGCTCAGGTGGCGGATGTAAAGTTCGCTCATCATCCCCCAACCCGGGCACAATCTTCCGAATGCTACGGAAGTCAAAAGGCCCTGTCATACCGCAATTTCAATATCGTGTCAAGGTCGATTACTACTAGCTCGGGTAGGTTTCGTACTTCAAAAACCGCAGGCCTGGAAGAACTACGCACATCCAGAGCCGGCTCTCGCTTGGCGATAACCATAGACATGACTGTAAATATACGCACATGTCTTACGATTCGAGGTTCTTTGCATGTCCTGGCCAGCAGAAGAGCTCTGCCTATCTACTGGCCCCGAAATCGGAGGTCTGGTCTTGAATAGTTCAACGCAATTCAACCACTGGCTGGATATTGGCGGGTCTGGCGCCGGCCATAACCCGGATTTTCCTCACTTTTCAAATAGATCCATATCACATCACCAAAAGATCGACCTGAACAAGTAAGATCTTATCGCAAGATGCATTCTCTTCAATACCATTGGCCTGTATGAGGGCCAACCTCGATGTACGTGATCAAAACTCCGAGAAGCGGCGCCGTTGGTGGTCTCCGCCCAAGAGTAAAATGCCGATTAAAACTTCGCCGATCGGCAACCTACATCGCGAAGATCAAATTTTCTTAATTTGCCATTTGCCGT